ATTGTACAAAAGTGCAATAAAACTCAGTACAATCAAACTTCCATATTTATTTTTCATATTTCCATATTTTCCATTTATTTTATTTTTCATTCCTTGCATCTATTGATACATATCGCATACGAACAAACACATCTTTTTTGCTAGAAATATCTATTTACAAGTCAATGTCTATAAACTTAACTTTAAGAACTTTAAGAAACATTCAAACCAATGTCTTTTATTTTTCCCGATTTAGTTACATATATTTTACATATTTTCATTATTTTACTTAGAAGCATACCATTATTCAGTAGATACTGCCTGTTAACAGTAACATTACATCAATATTATAAACTTCCATTTAGCAATATAACTGTTGCACACATGTGTGCAACATATTACATTTATATTTATTTATATTATTAATTTATATTTATATTTATTGTTGAGTGGGAAATTATAATATTTATGTAATGTTCCTTTTTTACTTTATGATTTCTGGATATTTTGTATAGTTCTCTCTCTGGTTCCGGGATTAGAATCGGATCAGAGTCGGGTTAAAGTCTGTTCTTTTTCGCTGCACAGCTTCACTGATGCAATAAGTTGGAGGACAAATATATATTTGTCTCACTTCAACTTGTTGCACCAGTATAGTTGTGCAGCGAAAAAGAATAGACTTTAACCCGACTTTGACCTGATTCGAATCCCGATGAAAACACTATGCTCTTAAACATTATTCCTCTTGAATTCATAAAGTACACATCTGTATTCATATAATGTCACTCTATTGGAATACTCTGGGAAGTTCTGAAGAACTCCAATCATGGTGCATGTAACTTCCTTAATCATTCTTATAGTATTCTTCCACGAGTTCCTAAAGAAGTACAGTTCAGGAAAGGAGAAAGCTTTAGGAACACTTAAAGAATTCGTCGTGCTATCTGGGTATAAGTAATGATGAAAATTTGTCAAAGATTCCATCAAAGCCAATAATTCCCGTCTAGTAACACAATAATTTTTTTCAGTTTTACTGAAAACACGACTAAAATAGGCTAAAACTTTTTTTTTTCCGTCTTGAATTTGAGAAAGTATTGCACCTAAACCATGATTCGAAGCATCAGTATCTAAAATAAATTCTCCCTCCTCCGTTGGAAAAGATAAAATTGGAAAATATGTCAATTTTTGTTTTATTTCTTCAA